CTGGAGGTCAGGAGAACGCGGTGGTCTGCCAGCAGGGAGCGAATGTGGTGGCGGACGAATTCTTCGTGCCCGATGGGCGTGCCGAGGACCACCAAGCCCTGCTCGCGTGGCGGTGCGGCGGTGTCTCCGACCCACACGCAGTCTTGCTCGGTACCTTGCTCTCGGCCTCCTGGCGGCTCCACTCCTGCTGCGTTCCAGGCCCTCGTCTTGCCCATGTTGGCTCCGATTCCGCAGTGCCTCTGGAGTGCGATGCCGCAGTCCCTCTGATGTGCGCTGCGGACCAGCTCGAAAACTTCTCGCGATCGAGCTGGGGCTGACACCATGTACACGTTGGTCCAAGAATGCGAAGAGATGCTCCCCCGGAAGCAAAGCGGGCTTCTACCTCTTGCAGGGCAGGGTGTTGGCTCAGGGCGAACAGCGCGGGCATCAGGGGATCGCCCTGCTCATCGCCTTCTGCCTGCTCCACTACGCGGGCGTCCCCGTGCTGGTCGGTCCAGAGGTATTGCGAGCGGGGCCCGCAGAACATTCTGCAGAAGGGTCGCGCTGAGCTCGCGGCCGGGAGGCCCGCCAACCCCTGGAGCATGGCGTTGCGCGACATGAGGTCGAACGCACCAATGCCGTCAATGGAGAGCACTGCCTCTGGGTTGGCCTGCGTCAAGCTCTGGATGAGGTGCGCCACGCATTCCGTGCCCGCTCTGGTGGATAGGGCGAACTGAAATGGCGCCGTGGCTGCCTCCACTTCCTCGTTGATCTGTTGGGCCACGCAGCGGGCCACCAGCCTCCTCAGCACGTGTCCCGTCACGATGCCCCTCGCCCTCCTTTTCGGCTTGGTTAGCGCCGCGAGCTGTCCCAGGCGCAAGGCTTCCGACACTGGTCCTGGTAGCCTTGCCTGCGCCATCCTCGTCGCCGCGTGGTGCAGTAAGCCGCGGGCTTGCTCGTCTTCCAGTAGCGTTTGCAGGTGCTCGCCGGCCAAGCCCGACGGGCCCGGGGCGGCGCCCCTGCGGCAGCGACGGAGGTTGCGGAGGAGCCTGTCGGACTCGAGGAGGATAGGCTCCAGGGCCAACGCTGCAAGGTCCGCTCTCAGCGGCTCCCGCGGTTCGGCGAGCCGTCGCGCTGGGTTCCACAGCTCCGCCAGCGTGGCCTCGGTTCCTGGCGCGATCGTGCTGGCCGTGAGGGCCTGGCGCGCCGCCGAGACTTCTCCTTGCTGTGCCAAGGCGCGCGCCCTCGCGCAGCGCTGGGAAAGCTCCTCGTCGCTCCCTGCCGGCGGCCGCCCGCTGTCTCCTCCGCGACGCCTTCGGGCTGGGGGCGCTAGCAGGGGCGCCCAGTCGCCCGCCTCGACTCGGGCAAACCGTTCCAGCAGCTGTTCTCTGGGCACCGTGCGGGCGCTGTGGTCCTTGCTCAGCAGCATGCGTGGGATCAGGAAGAGGAGCTTCCAGCCTCGGAGCTGGCGTGCTTCGTTGGCCTCCCCTGCGTGGATCTCCCTGAGCGCTTTGCGCAGCGCGTTGCGCAGGGGTCCTCGGAGGAATGCTGGCGCGCTTCGCAGTGTGGCTACCCGCTGCCTCAAAGCTGCCTGCTAGTCTGCCCCGTCCAGCGCCTCTCTCTCTGCCCTACGTAGCGTTTCCCTCTGGGGAGGGCGTCGGCCTCTCGGCCCCTGTGTTGTCCCTCCGCCGTCGCCCTCTTCCTCTTCCTCCTCTTCCTCCTCCCCTGCCTCTGCGGCCCTGGGGGCTCCCGCCGCTGCGGGGGCGGGCGCTTGTGGTGGCCCCTGCGGGTCTGGGCTCGGGCCCGGGTCTGCTCTGTCGGCCTGGCCGTCGTCGCTGCCCTCGTCCCCGCCTTCGTTGCCGGGGCCTTCTCCCCCCCCGCCGCCTCCTCTGCCTGCTCTGCCACCTCTTCGTTCTCGGTCTCCTCGGGCGTTCTTTCCTCCTCTGGCGCCTCCTCCGCTCGCGCCGTCGTTCGGTTCAGGCCCTGGGGGCGCTTGCGGCGGCGGCAGGGGCGGGCGCGGCTCGGCCGCCGCCCGCGCTGTGGGGCTGCGCAGTTCGTCCGTGCGTGCGTCCACACCCCTCGCGAGCACCAGGCCGCCGAACGCTTCGAGGATGAGGTCTTGCACCAGCGGCTGCATGTTGCCCGTACTGCTGTGCGCCACGGCCTGGGGGACTTGCGCAAAGGATAAATGCTCTGGGCGTTCTCCTCCGTCTGCAGCGAGCACTGCTGGTACTTCCCCGGGCCGGGCGTCGGTGCACGCGAGCTAGGGGCACGCGCACCGCCGAGTTGGCGCGTGCCGGGAGGGGCGCTTGCGGCGGGGCCTAGCCGGCGAAAGGGCTGTGCTGTGGCGGCCTCGCGGCGGCCCGCTCTGGCCCTGGCGGGGGGGCTAGTGGTGGGGCGTCGGCTGCGGCGGCCTGTGGGGTGGCGGGCACTTCTCTTGTCCATGCGTCTGGTTCGCACCGACCGCGCCTCCATTCGCCTTCGGCCGCGCTGGCTTCCGCGGCCCACGTGCCCAGCCCCAGGCACCTCGCGCACACCTGCTAGCCGCTCAGAGGCACGGTCGCGTCGAGAGCGCAGCGCGCCCCGCAACGCCGGCAAAGCCATGGCTCCAGCCACTGTGTGGTCCTCCCGCTGGTGTCTCGTGCTGCGACCTCCGGGGGCCATTCCACGCGGCGGTCTGGCACTTCGGAGAATTTGGCCGGTGGGCCGAGGCGTCGGCAGCAGAGCGCTCGGAGTAACGGAGGTTCGGGTGGTGGCGGTTCTTCGCCACGCGCGTCACCCCGAAAACCCGTTGTAGTATGGGGCGGCCTCGGCGCCGGTGCTGCGGTCGGTCTATGTCCACGCCCTGCGCCGCGCACCGCGCCCGTAGCTCAGCCGTGGTCGGAAGTCTGGCTCGGCACTGCGGGCAAGTTGTGGCTTCGCCCAGGTGGCGGGCCAAGTCAGCGCGGCAGCCCAAGTGGAAGTGGGCGCCGCAGCATGCCTCTTGTGCTGTTGCGTCCCTGCCTGTCCCGTCTTGCGGGATCTCCTCTTGGCACGCGACGCAGGTGTTGGCCTCGCTTGGTGGCGCTGGCGGTCGTTCGGACGCCTCCCGCCCTGCTGCCACTGCTGCTGCCTCGCAACGAGCTCTGGCGTCTGGCTCCGCCCCGTGCAGTTGTTGCGGCGGCTGCTGCTGCCCCTCGGCTGCCCCGCGATCTGCTTCTTCCCCCGCAAGGCGCCGGGGTTTCTGGCGGCCGGAAGAGGCCCAAAAAGTCCCACCGGCCCCAGGAGGACCTGCAGGCAAGGCGCCGAGAACGCTTTCGAAGTGGTTCAGCTGCAGTGGCGGTGGCGGTGGTGAGGCCGACCGCGCGCCCGCTCGCGAGTCTGGCGTGGCGAGCCTTTCCGGCGCCGACAGCATGTGCGGCGGCGTCTCCGCGAGCGCTGGTACCGGGGCAGATTCCCCCGATCTGCGTTCCGGCGTGCCCAGCGGCTCGTCGGCTGGCCCGGGGGGGCCTGGGTGGCTGGCTTCGCCGACCCGTTGTCCGCGGTAGCCGTAGAGCGCCTCCCGCGGACTCCTCGCCAGTGCGCACTGCTCCTGTCGCGGTGGTGGCGGTGCTTGTGCTGGCGCTGGTGCTGGTAGCGGCGCTGCCGGTCGCTGTCGCGGTGCTGTGCTGCTGCTGGTCGCTGTCTTGGCGGTGGCGTTGGTGTTTCTGCTGGTCGGTGTCACAGGGTGTCGTCGTGGTGGTTGCCATGCTGCTGCTGCTGCTGCTGCTGCTGCTGCTGCTGCTGGTGCTGGTGCTGGTGGTGGTCGTCGTGGTGGCAGTGGTGGTGGTGGTGGTGGTGGTGGTGCTGCTGCTGCTGCTGCTGCTGGTCGTCGTGGTGGTGTCGCTGCAGCTGGTCGCGGTGGGGATGCTGCCGCTGGTGATGGTTGTCGTGGTGGTGGTTTTGCTGCTGATGTTGCTGCTTGTCGTCGTCGTGGTGGTGCTGCTGGTTGTCGTCGTTGTGCTGCTGCTCGCGTCGCCACTGTTGGGAGTCGTACCGCCTCTTGTGGTCCTGTGGGCTTGCTGCACAAGCCGGGGCGCCACCAGGGACCGCAGCGGAGCCGCGCGAGCTCCGATGGGGAACTGGCCCTAGGGGAGTCCTACCGTGGGGATGGGGCTTCCCCCCTGGGGGTCACAGCCCCCTCCCTCGGAAGGGGCTGGAGGGCTGGCGGCCAGACGGCTGGGATGGCCGTCTGGGGTGGCGGAGGGCCTGCTGGCTGCTGTCGTCCTGGCCGCTGCCGCGGTGCCTGCTGCTGCCGCTGCTGCTGCTGCTGCTGCTGCTGCTGCTGCTGCTGCTGCTGCTGTAGCTGCTGCTGCAGCTGCTGCTGCTGCTGCTGCTGCTGCTGCTGCTGCTGTGGTGTTGGTCGCTGTGGCGCTGGTCGCTGTTGGTGCGTGCTGAGGTGCTTGTTGGGTGCGTGCTGTGGTGTTGGTCGTTGCTGTGGTGCTGGTCATTATCGCCGCCGTGGTGCTGGTCTTGGTACTGTGTGCTGCTGGCGTGGTGCTGCTGGTCTCGTGGTCTTTCCCCCAGTGGTCGCTGTGGTGTTGCTGGCTGTGCGTGCTGCTCTTGGGGCTGCTGGTCGCCGCCGCTGTGTTGCTCGTGGTACTGCTGCTGGCCGCGGTCGTTGTCTTCGTTGTGGTGCTGGTCGTTGGGTGCGTGCTGTGGTTCTGGTCGCTGGGTGCGCACTGTGGTGCTTGTCGGTGGTGTTGGTCGCTATGGTGCTGGTCGCTGTGGTGCTGTGTGCTGCCGCTGTGGTGCTGGTCGCTGTGGTGCTGGTCGCTGTGGGCGCGTGCAGTGGCGCTGGTCGTAGTGGTGCTGGTCGTTGGCTGCGTGCTGTGGTGCTGGTCGCCGTTGTGGTGCTGGTCGTTGTCGTCGCCGTGGTGCCGGTCGGCGCGTTGCTGGTGTGGTCGCAGTCGTGGTGGTGTTGCTGGTGGTGCTAGTGGTGCTGGTAATGCTGCGGGTCGTAGTCGAGGTGGTGGTGCTGGCGGTGGTATGGGTCGGAGTCC